TCTCATTTACTCTATTTGCATATGAATTTCAGTATTTACCTGCAATATTCTCAGATATTTATTACCTTTCGTTTTAATATTTGGATTTCATTCATCTTGATTCGCATTTATTTGTTACATTGTAGATATATAATTTTTTAATTAAAATAAAACCTTGAGAGACCTGATCTGAACTTAAACACCAAAATCTTCATAAAGAAACATAATATCTACCTGTGAGGGTAGTTGAGCGAAGATATTGCACTCCTCCATGTTAAATATGCACATCGTCTGGGCGAAGTGATGACACTAAAACTGACAAACGTTTAGGATATGACTCAAATGGATTCAGGCATCACGAGAGCGTTAAAAGTCAGTAATATCAGATTATTGGTACAAAAATACAAAACCCATTTATGTTAATATCTTTAGCACTAAAGGTAGAATTGTTTTTCTGAACTTGGCAAGGCTAATCGGATATTCAAGCAACAGCGCCACGTTGGAAAGCGAAATTAATTACAGAAAGATTAGATTGCGAATGTTAAATAGTGTATATCTTATCATACAAAACATGGTAATACATTTCGTTGAAGTAGACTTGCGACGATAAATACTGCCAAGGCAGCAGCAGGGAAAATTGCAAAGTATACATATGAAAGACGGTTTCTAATGATCAGACATTAAAAGGCTGGACTAATGTACTGTCCAAGCTTTGTTGGGCTTAAATGAAGAAGATAACAGATTGTTCAGCCAAATGATTGACGCTTAAAGCATTGTCTTTTATGGGTCAAAATCTAGAAAGGAAGGCAGATGGAGCTTAAATAAACACACACACAGATGGTCAAGCTGAGGCATTGCATCAATATGGCATAACATCATGACTTGAGACCTAACCGCCGGCATTCTACGATAAAACAGTACATCGGTGAGATACACCAAATGACCTTCTGAAATGAAACGAAAGCTGGATATCATGACGAGAGGCATATGGTAAAACAATTTTATGCGACAACGAATGGATGGAGCCGAAAGTGAAAACAGTGTACATCGTTTAGGTCAGGGGAAAATAGATCATCGAGAGAAAAACAAATGCATATAGGAAACGCACTGGACAAATAGAAATAGATATCTGGTATCTGATCTGACAATTGTGAAGACAATACAGCTAATTTGGACCGAAGTAAAACATAACTGTCAGTGACAATGGCAAGACCGGAATACCTCATTAGAAAAACAAACGGAAAAGCGACGTAAATGAAATAAATTTGACAAATAAAAAATATCAGTAACAAAAACAAAATCGAATTATGTACATACAACAGCAAAACTAAGAAATGAAAATTTAACAGAAATGGCAAATATCATAACAATGAATAAAATGCTAAAATTGCATGTTTATAAACAAGTCAGCGACGGACAGTGAATACATGAGTAGATCATCAGGTTTTGCGATGCACATGGAAAACTGAGACAGTCGTTAGATGTACCTGCATTCAACTTTGATATTTGCATATCCTTGTAGTACAGTTCGCCGTTGTTCTCACATTCATCAAAGACTAAGAAAACTAGACAGTTAAATTGGACATAGTGGTGTGATATTCGATCAGTTTCCCCAGATATGCACTCTTAAACACATGAAAAAGTTCTTCAGTAATATGACCGTTCAGGTCGGTCGTAGAATTTCTTTTCTTGGTGGGAGAAGAAGGAGTGGAGGAGTAAGATAATACATATTAGAAAAATAGCACACAGCTCAATATAACTTCGAAAAAGGAGACGAAAGCCAAAATTCATTGATTTGAAATTGTGTAAACTGTCGGTGGTAAATTTCTTAATCCCCACGCGGCATCCAGAAAATGAAAACAGCAGTAAGCTGTTGGCTATCACATGGATCTCTTACTGTTTTAAAGTTTATTCATTATTTACCTTTCTAAATCATCCCACGGAATAACTGGAATATAACCTCTGTTCGACACTATTGCATGCGACACTGCATTAGTATTATTACCGCATTATATAATACGAAGGGAAGCTTAGAATCATAGGCAGAGAGTATCGATGATCTTCGTGGTGACTTTAAACAGCAATTGCTGTCTCCATAAAATGACCCTCACAATCTACGTTTAGGAGAGCGAGCAAGGACCAGAATCTGGGGAAAATACCAAGGCCTTGCAAAAGAACATCGGTTCGGATTAAGGAGATATCGCTGATCGAGAACTAACAGGCCATCCGAAGCCCATAATGCAAATATGTCAAGTAGAATTACTCAAAAATGCCAAATTAAACGAAAAAAGAGAACATCTTTCGTACTGTCGAATGGTCTTAAAATGCCTCAATATCTGACGATTCAAACAAAGGGGAATATTTACACCTGCAACAAGTTTTCCACGTCTCGTCCTGATGCATATTATGTCTGCTTTCTTTCGATTGTCGTCTAATTGCGACTTCGAAAAAATTCTGCACCGTTCGCTTTTTAAGAACCGCGGCTACGGTGGCAGTATATCATACCAGTGAACTGCTAACTCCGCATAAATGGCGTATTGATGCCAATCAAGTCGTTTCACGTTCTATAAGTAGTTGTTACGGTCATCAAGCGACATGCACTAACGATGAACCGCATTCATTCATTGTGTGATTAGGGGAACAAAAGTGGGCATTTCTGCACTGTATCTATGCTCAACATCGTAGTCATAGGCTTGAAATGACGACTGTATTTTCTATTCTGTATCTATTCTTAGTCATGACTAAAAATGGTCGGTTACGGATCACTGTGAAAATAAACTAATCTGGGAGGGTATGATTAAGCCCTATGATCTTGACTTCCAACATGCTACTGACAATTCGAGAGATGATATCCTCGAAGATTTCTATAATTATTCCTCAGCAAAAGTAACACAACGAGCAGAAGAAGACAAAAATAATAAACCACAGTAAGTAAATAAATAGTAGTATAACATAAAAAGAGCAAAATAAAAAAATATGCGTTGCCAATTCATCGAAAAAAGTATATGCAAGCAGTTGACCGAAAGCCAAATGAAATGAAGTCAGCAAACATGTACCTCAAGAACCGATCCTTCAGAACTGTACAACTGCGCCAGTGCGGTTTTCTGAAACGTACTAATATTTTTAAAAATGCCACCCTAAGACAAAGCAAATAAAAAGATTTTAAAATCCAAACATAACAACGCGAATAGCAGGAAGCAAAAGAACAAAACTTTTACATAAAATATTTTGCCTGGCTTCTGACTACGGCTCAAGAATGGCGGTAAGCATAGAGATGATGCAATATTGCCTCACAAAAAATCTGCATCAATAAGATTATAACAAATTCCAGGAAGAGTAACGAATAACGAAACATTTTTATTGCTCCAAGAAATTGCCATTAATCATAGCACTCTGTCTAGAAGTAATGCCATAAACGGCATAGTTTACGTTATTACAAAACTACCTATTATTAAGTTTATTACTACAAATTTATGATTAATTTTTGAAATAGTATCTTACAAATGGAAGTTTTCGTGAGTTAACAACATATCACTCCAATAAAACATAAGCAAAACATTATTTTATCAGTCTGCTTACAGTCATGAACAGCTAATGAAAATTACAGCTACTCCTACTTGACGAAGGCCAGCGAAGGACCAGATTAAATATTTATTCTGCTTAACACATCATAATTGCAAACCATACGATTAAGACAGACTACTGAAACACCATCCGTATTTAAATACATAGGGAACATTAAAAGGCCCAATCACGGCAATGCATTAAGTATATAATAATATTGACAGCAATTAGATGGAGTACATAGCAGACCAACGCTTTCGCTGAAAGAAAGCATCTGTCTATCATGCACGATACATACAAAGTCTATTAGAAGACGAGTTTGTATAATATAGGTCTACTAAATTCTATACATGCAGAATACACACCGCAAATGATCCAAGATGTGTGTGTGTGTGTGTGTGTGTGTGTGTGTGTGTGTGTGTGTGTGTGTGTGTGTGTGTGTGTGTGTGTGTGAAATATATTGAAACAGTACATACTGTTACAAATCTGTATACAGATTGTACATACTGCATGCTACGTACAGCATGACACATCTCATAAAGAATACAGTATTATGGTATGTAAAAATCTATACAAGGTGTATATGAAGTATACTGGGAGAGCGTAGTATATACAGTTTGCAACATAATAAATTACATTGCTCAAATATATTCAACATTCCATAGACAGCATACACGTT